TCTTGCTCAAAGTGTCTCACTTGGGATTTGAACCTACAACCTTCCAGGTAGGAGTCCATTGTCCATAGGAGTCTGTTCTGCTCCTTCTAGCACAGCACTAACACAGCCTGTCATAAAAACAGCAACACTACTTCTGTTTTTTCCACTAATTTTCCCTCCCCTTTCTACTTCATGAATTCAAATGAAAACGAAAAATTAAAAGGGTACAAAATGCATCCTTCTGCAGAGCATGAATTAGATTACTTAAGATGAAGCGAGGGAGTACGCTCAGATATTTTTTGAATCATTGCTATTTTTTGTATTAATCCTGCGTGGTTGGTTGGGTTTTCAGGCACTGGGAAAATGCTGGTCACGGATTCACAGCCTGACTGTCCACAAGGTATTTAAGGAGCCTCTGGGAGCTGCTGCATGATTCAGTGCTGAGCATCAGCCCTTAATAAGAACGGAGGATCATCTATCGTCTGTCCTATTCTACAGCTCCCATACTCACAGATTGCTTACAGTAAAAACACCTGGAGCACATATGGAATAGTTTTCCCTCCTGCAAAGCAATGCCTGGAGTTCAGCGTGCACATTCCTCAGCAGAGACGGGTATTCAAACTCAGACTCATGTGCTTTTAACTGAAGAAGTAATGAAAAAGACTTTGATAGCCAGCAGTTAGGTATTGCAAATCATTTGGTGGGCAAATTATATTGCATAAAAATAGCAAAGAAAAGATAATAGCTTACAGGCTGCCATAGTTGCTGTAGGTAGCACTTACTGTACCGCCTGATACGTTTATCAAACAATATAGCTTTCCCAGCTGACTTCACTGTGCAGGGCCCATTTAATATTGTCTCATAAAGCACGTGTGCTGGGAATTAAGGCCATGCTACTCTCTGTGACTCCATCCATTCTCTATCAGAAGACTGCTTATTCCTGGTAAAGGCAGTGTCATCCTGAGGCCTCTCCTGGAAGCCTTGGGCAGAAGGCTGGAGCAAGGAAAGAACAAGCAAACTCCACAGGTCTGCACGAAATCCAACACCCCCTGGTGTGAGGCAGCAGTGTAAATCATCATGCAATTCACTGGGATGAAGGCAGTATAACAACATTCATATCACTTTGTCGCCTTCCTAAAAAACACAGATATAATTGTGCACACAGGTCTGGCTCCAGCATTTTCCCAGAGCTGCTAACCTGCAGTGGCATTGCCTGTGAGAAGCAATCATTCACACACAACCTTCGGTACTTGAATTGTCAAATACAACTGA